CAAAGCCTTAGACCAAGATAATTAATTGAAAACTTAATTTTTATGTATTTCCTCTATTAGGAAACCTACAACATATTTTGTGCCCTAGAAAAACGAAATAACGTAAATAAGAATATCAACAACTTGATTAATAATGATGGCAAATATGTAAACTAACAACAAGAGATCTTGGAAGAAGTTAGAAAATTTTACGAAAATCTACATAAAAATAAAGATCAAGAACTCGATGATCCTGAAGATGTATGAACTTGTGTAATGAATGGGTATGTATCTTGCTAGACCCGAGCGGTTTCCTTTTAAATAATTATCGAATATATATTTATTGTAACTTGAATGTTGCCCCCCCCCTCCCACTTGGCCATTCCCGTAATATTTTTTCTTATATAATATACTATAGAAAACAGTTACTTAATGCTTATGTCCATTCAAAAATAACTTCCAATTACCATGATAACCCCTATTTGAGGTTGGGGTGGGGATAAGGGGATTAACAATGATTTTTTTAAATTTATTATTCCCAATGGTTCATTATCTTTACTAAGCATGCATGTTTCAGCCATCCGTATTTAAGGGGCTGTCTATTGGTTTCATAAACTTGGTCACTGGCCACTTTCTAATACCGTGTCACAAACACTATCCACCTTGAAACCCGTAGTACTAATTATTACAGAGACGAAGCATCGATTTTGAAAATGGGGTGGAGTGGGGGGGGGGGGGGCAGACAAAAATATTATAATTTTCAAACCTGGAAATAAAAACTGACAGAAAAAAATTGTCCAAACCCGAAAATCCTATTTCGTGAAAGGGGACGGGGGGGGGGGATCGAACTTCATTTACAATGTAGTACCTAATTTCTTTTAATACACTACTACTTAAACTTCTTTGACTATACTGCACTACTGTACCAAAACGTGGAGGTTGGGGGTGGGGGCTTGGCAACCGACCTTTCGATGAACATTTTCAAGAGTAAAAAATTATGTTCGGAAAAAAGGGGGGATGCATGTACTGTTAATCTAAGTTTACTATTATGTCAACAACCCTGTATACAAAGTAGATAACACGAAATATATATATTCTTTATATAAATATCTTATGACATTTAAGAAGCTATTATAAATTAATTAAGCATATCTTGTAGAGCAAAATCCAATATTTCTTTAAATTTCGTTTTGATAATATGTAACACTTTTTCTTGCGTTGTAATTTAATAAAATGACCTCCTCGGTATTAAAATAATCAACGATTTCTTAATAGTAAAAATTAATAAAGGGGAGTAATTGAATCTCAAACCGCCTTTTGATTGGTTATTTTGGATCTTGAATCTCGAAACTCGAATTTCGAATCTCGAATTTCGAATCTCGTATTTCGAATCTCGAATTTCGAATCTCGTATTTCGAATCTCGAATGAGCCTTCTGGGCTTTCGTACCATCATATCATTATTGTTCATTAAAATCCACCTGATCATGTGTCTGTAAAACAGATATATTGCTGGAAGTTTTACAATTTCAGTGAATTTTTTTTTATTCTTAACAAGTTTTACAGCAGCTTCAATGAAGCATTTAATTTCGCTATAGTTTACTAATTCTTTAATTACTATTCATTTTTATTGCAGTGTCTCTAATAGCCTATGTTTTCAAGCTTCTCACAATGAAAATATGAGAAGATAAGTGGTCATATAAACTGATATCAATGCATTCGATCATAAGAGAAAGCCAAGCTTAACATTGCATCATATCTGTGTTATATGTCTTAGAGTTCATGTCATTATTTATTAAACAACTCTCGGATAGAACAGTAACTCAGGATTTTTTGCACTTTATGTTTAACAACATCTTCCAAAATTTCTATTTCCCGTTTGACAAACTATAGAGAGGGAATTGAAGATATCTAATAAACATAACTTTTTAAAGATCAATATCATATCTGACAAGCACTTCTACATACACCAAATAACAAACCCTACATTTATTTGGTTAGAGTAAACTCAGTACTTTTATGTTTCATGTATATTTCTAAGGAATCTGTTATTATCATTGGTGTTGTTCATTTCTGCGTAAATATTTTCCTCATTGGTATTAACATTCACTTTTCCATTCTCTTTTAACACTTTATAGAAAATGTACAACTCATACAAAATCCACAAAACAAGAAAACTTGATATGACTGTACAAAAATAAATTAAGAAAATCCTGAGGACAGTTGCATTTTCCACCGCTTTTTGGCGATAAATTGTATAAGAGTCAACAATTTTTGTGGTATGAATTTTTCTTTCATCAGTTTTTTTCCGCACTGAATGCTACAAAAAATATATAAAAAGAAAGTACTTTAACCTGAACAAAAAATCGACATAAAAGAAATTCAGTCAGTTGAATTGATCACAAGGTGTCAGTAATTTCACTGAGAATACAACTAAAAGATTTCCATTTGCTTTTAAAATGTTGATCGTTAGAACAACCCTTTTCATTGTGATACTGTGAAATCGAACAATCACACTTCAATGCACAAGATTTCCCATACTCCGGATATATACACTTCATATCACACTTGTCTCCAAAATAGCCTGCTAGGCATTCTTTGTGAGAAAAACATCTTATATTAGGCACAAAATATAATTAGAAGAAGAAATTTGCCAATTAACTCAAAATTATACTTTTTATCCTTAGAGAAACTCGAATTTCGTTGGTATTTTACCAATTTCTTTTGATAATTGTACTCAACCTTATTTTCTATTTTTATAAAATACCTATAAATATGTCACTGCCCAAAAAAATAATAACTAATTTTTTTTATATAGAAAGTGCTCTTTTTAGGTTTTTATTTGTTATTTGTCTTTATTACAATGAATAGGTAAAATTTCATTCTAAACAAATGTCTCTTTCAAATCAAATTTCAGATTTGCATACAGAACATGTGAAAAAGTCATTGGAAAATTATTTCATTCGATGTTTTTTTTTAGAATTTTTATTTCCACTCTTATTTCATCTTTTAAAAACAGGTTACTCAGTACAAATAATATTTCGTATCTTGGCAAATATTATTTACTTTGTAAAAATTGTAACAGCATTCGGAATCGGAATCATTTGCAACTGGTCTGAAGTAGAACCAAAATTGTTTTAAAGAAATTGCATAAATATGATTTTATTTTGACTTTACTCTTTAAAATCAAAATTTCATAAAAATTTAACAATCCGCTGTTAGGAACAATTGTATAAGACATACTTACCCAACCAAACAGGCGTCTAAACCAGCACATCCAAAGACTAAAATTAGAAGCTGAAGAAGCAAATTCACGCTTGAAAACTGCGTAAATATCCAACCCATTTTACCTACTATAACTGATATTTTTTGTTTCTTTTAAACATTCAATTAACATATTCTTTCATTTCGGGCATTGAATGTTACTGTATTTGCTCCATACCAATGTTTGTTTTTCTTCCGTATAAAATCGGAATTTACTCCAACATATTTGATAACAAAATATTTCTGTATCGTCTGGACCTTTATCGTTCAACATCAGCCTTGCACTGTTTGAAGTTTTTTTCCTCTTTGGTGCAAGGAATTTGCAATTATGTGCATGCGTGCAATGGTAAATATAAACGGGTTATTGGATATCGTTTTATTAAAAATTTATTCCATATTTGTAGCTGAATTCAAAATACTTAGATTTTATTTTTAGGGTATCTCGCATATGTAACAGTTTTCATCATTCAAACATAAAATTTATGATTTGTGAACTTAACACAATAAAAAAATCATTCATTCGGGTATCAACCATATTTTTTTAGTCATTGTCTCTTTATGAAAGATATGGAGATAACGAACAATATTCAATTGCAAACTCCATAAAACAATACAAAATAGGAGCAGAGCAATCACGGACCTCTAAACATCAGAGGTGGGATCAGGTGCCATGGAGGAGTGAGCATCCCCTGCTGACCGGTCTCACCCGCCGCGTGCACCCCGTCACAACCAGGAAATAACGGAAAAATCCGTCGTCAATTCTGTGTATAAATTATGGACTAACAATTGGTATGAAAAAACGTCAGTCTCATCTTTATCTTCACAATGGCCAAGGAGACTGTAAAATGGGAGGTGATTATAAATGCAATATAAGAAAAGGGAAATTGAAAGGAAACATACTAGTACGTATCTCTTATCTTCTTATATTTCAGATCATATTTTATTCTAAGGGAAAGCAAATTTCAACTTGTGAAAAAAAATTAGAAATTTAAAATAATAAAAAAAAAATAAATGATTTTCTTTAATTTTGTATGAGATTGTGTTATTATTCTTTTTTTATTATTTCATTGGAAATTAAAACACTTTTATGATGATGCAATGATTGTAATTGGCTATATCGAGGGACATGCTGGTATTATCATTAACTTTAATGCATAATTAGAGAACTAGATATAATGTATCAATCTTCTTGAAAATATTTTTCTATTGAAACTTTTATTTAAACTTCTGTGATTGGGAATAAGAGCCATATAATGCGTATTACCATTCTAAAAATATGTATAAAAGCTTTGTGTTTGTAAAAATCGTACATTATTATTAAATAACCACTGAAACGTTCAATCTTGTGTAAGTCAGTCTGATAAAGCTGTAATCATTTACATCAAAGTAATCAGATCATGAATCAGCTGTATTGTGAAGAATCTTCCAGACTCTAAGATGTGTCAAATTAAAGTTATTTTTATTCTTTTCAATTCCAAATGCAGATTTTATTGACTTATTATGAATACACACACATAAACACAAATATTTTTTAAAACAATTTGAATTGAAGCAAAACAACTAAATAGTTGCTGCAGGATCATTATTAAGCAGGAAAACGTTGATTTGTAAATAGTGGAGACAGTTTAAAAATATAACATCATATTTGGAAAGTATCAATTGAACAAAAATACTATAAATGTGAATTAATGTCCTTTTTTTGAATTCATAAAGTCATAAGAATTTCATTTCAAACACCTGTTTTATCTATACTTTAAAGATAATTTAGGTCAGATCAGTCGTAGCTGAACGGATAGGATATGGCGAAAACGAACAATATTCAATCTCAAAGTCCATTAAACAATATACAAAATAAGAGCAGAGCAAACACGGACCTCCGAAACATCAGAAGTGGGATCAGGTGCCATGGAGGAGTGAGCATCCCCTGCCGACTGGTCACACCCGCCGTGTGCTCCTTGTCATAATCAGAAAATAACGGAAAAAATCCGTTGTCAATTCAGTGTATAAATAATGGACTAACAATTGGTATGAAAAACGTCAGTCAGCATTTGACTCAATGATAAATTGTATTTGCTGACAAGGTCATTGTATCGACCATATATCCTAATGAATCCTTGTTAATTTCTCAGGTCACTTTCTTTAAGAACACAGTGAGCATTATAGATCCATATGTAACACGTGTAAGAAGATTCCTAGTAGCTTTACTGATTCCATTTGTGCTTTCGATAACTCTTTCAGGAAATATTCTTGAAGACTGTGAAGACTGTGGGTTATCCGTTTTAGATTCTGAAATATAAATTTCGTTTTCATATTAATAACGGACAATTACTCTAATTAGACTTTATTTCCTGTTTAGGATCAACTAAAATATATGTAAAAAAAAAAAATTAGGGAAATTATTTACTCTTTTAAAACTCAAATCTTTTGTTTTTATCAAATATATTTACTGATTGTCATTTATGCTAAGATCATTTTGTATATTGACAAACTCTTTTAGAAAAAAAATTGTAAAGTGACTTATTTCTTTATTCTCTTTCATCTTGTTTGCTAAGGGGACATATTCTTAATATTACTTTTAAAACATAAAACCCTTTTTTAAGATCTTTAAGGATTACACAGCAGATTTTCGCTATTGTATATCCATAGTTGAACATTATATTTACATACTCTCTATTTACATACAAGCATTTCAATACATCAAGATCCATACTTTCCTATCTCATTTCTCAGAAAAAAAAACAACAAGAGCCACTTGCAAGAAACTTAGATAGTTTTCTGACTATAATTGCCATTTATTTCAATTGAAGGTTTGCGTTTGCAAATAAAAATGTTTATTTTTTAAAGATTCTTAACGAGGCATTATAAATATTTAAGACTTACCTACATGTAGTATACATGTGTTATTTACTAAATGATAATTTTCACAACATTTTGTGATTTCACCATCTTTTATTCTAAAACAAAAAAAATCAACTTAATATCATATATCATTTAAAATTAAGTAATTAAGGGAAAAAACTTTTAAAATTAAAATTAAGGAATTTAATTGCCCTCACCTTTCGCAGCAAATTTCACGAGCAGCACACCAGAAACATAAAAGTAGTAGATGAACAAAAACGATAAGGTAACAAAACTTTATACTTAAACAGAGTCAAATGCTTCGAAACTTGTGAAACTGGATTTAATTGAAACAAACAACCTCTAAATTAGTGCAAAGATGATAAAAAGCAGGAAAGGTTTTTCTCCTAAATAAACATGTATTTAAAATCTTTAAATAAAATTTCTAATATTTCCTGTTGTAACACCAGTCGATGAAATATTGACAATACCAAATTAGATATCCGATCAAAAAATGTCTGAAAATTCTGGAAGAGCTTGAAAATTGGCTTAATGTCAGAGCGAGAAAATATTTAGTAATTTCAAACGATATTACAAAAAAGTACTTTATCAATGTCATATATTGAATAATTTACATGTGATATTTCCGAAAAGTTTTAAAGGTCAAGTACCCATTTCCATGAGTGTTTAAAAATTTGGCGTTGGAGTTTTAAGGTCTGCTTTCAATTAATTGCAAAAAAATCTTCAATCCCCTTTGTGTCAGAATAGAGAGCAATTAAACGCACTAAAGTAGGAAGGTAACCTTAATATACATTTTTGACATAAAAAGAAAACCTTTTAACATGTTGTCAGAATGGATCCAAAGAATCAGATGCATATTAAAATCTTCCATTAAGCGAATGATTGGTAAAATACAAAACAAAACAAAACAAAAAAAAAAAACCACCAAACAAACAAAAAAAAACAAAAACAAAAAAAAAAACAAAAAACAAACAACTATCCCTCTGTGTTCAATAATTCAGAATTGAAAACTAAATATAATTGAATGCACGATCAGAACGTATTGTCCCTTCTGACAAAGTAGGTATCAACATTATCTTTCTTTGAAAGGCTCACTTTTTAAATCTATATTTAAGAGGAGTGCAGATTTAATTCTACATATGATATGCAACTTATACCAATAGCTTCCTTTCTTATAAGGAGGAAATTCTTTAAATTATATACCAGTTTTGAATACCTTAAATATTCCCAACAACCAAAATGGTTGATTTAAGATATCTATATGGATTGCGACCTTCATGAAAATGCTTACAGACAAAGAAAAATAGCCTCTTTAAGTTAATATAACACCAAGCCTCTCTCTTTACTACTCAATAAGATATAAACAGTTACTGTAGTACTAGTGAAGGAGAGACATACATGAGGAGTACTGTGTAACAATATTTTCGAGAATTGGTATATATAAGATAAAAAATACATAAAAATTGTAAAGAACTTTTGTAAAATTTGAAATCACAAAGTTTTTGCAAAATTACAAGCATAACAATTTACAACCTTTCAACTTAAGGATAAATAACACAAACAAACTTTTTTCAGAAATCAGCATTATTTTTCATAGATTTACATTTAAATTGACAACCTGAATAATGTTTACCAAGTAGAGTGGGAGAATTATATAAGATTTTGTCATAAGGTTAAAAAATTGTGCAAAATTTTGTATGGAATTATATAGAAGGCAAAACAAAATCTCATATATAAGCACCAAGGAAATCCTACGATTTCTTTATATTTCAGGGATTTATTATTTATGTCATTTCAAATCAAAATCAGTCAAAAAATATATATCAACCCGCGCATCCATTTTTTGTTTGTGGTAAGTACCCTTAATATGCAACTTTTCCCAACAATAAATTAAAGCCCTGATTTTTTTTTACATTATTGAGAGCTTTTTTAAAATGAAATTAGAACTCGTAAATTTACAAACATTTTCAATAGTCATTGGCAAAATTTATTAAAAATCATTCTGATTACACACACGAGTACTCTGAAGTTGATATCAAAAAGAGGCTTGGGTTTCTGATTGACAATATCTTTGCAGTTTTTGGAGACCAGGTTTACTATGAATCTATAGGAATTCCGATGGGTACCAATGGCGATCCGTTATTACCAGACCTATTTTTGTATTCAAATAAAGTAGAATGTGTTCAAAATCATGAGGGCGAAAAGCTTTCTACTCGACATTTTGATACAATGTATATCGACGGCGTATTGTAAATTAATAATTACAATGCTTAATTACATCCTTATTTCTATGCAATAAAACTGTTAATTGTTTCCATGCTTATTTCAATACGATATTGGATTGAATCCCACTGTATATATGACGTATAGAGATGTCCCTCAGATTAGACCGTATGAATTGAAATCCCGTGTTGCAATGGTGCTGGTACGAAAATCCTCAATACTCAATAGCTGTGAGTGTCAAGCATAGGATAAAATTAGCTTCTCATCTCCATATGAGTGAGATTATGATAATATACGTATCAGCTCTCATTCATTACAAATCTGAAATTAAATGTATTCGCAGCACAGTTAAGGTTAAAAATGGAAATATCGGCGATTTTTTAAGATAAAATATACATACTTTATTAGGATGGGCGATTCTTTTTAGGAGTTCACTGATATAAAAAAAATGTAATGAGGTTTAAATCTACATGTTGGGGACATTTAGATTTTTTACTTAGACTTGTCATGTGATGTCGACGTCACATGACTTTGGCAATTATAGTTGCAGTTTAGAGGTCAATTATAAATTTTAATATTGCAAGGGCATAACCAAGTTAAAAATCTTAGTTTATTTTATAATCCCTTTCAACACTATATGTAGTTTGTGAAAAGTGCTGCGAACCTATATAGATTCCCTTTTTTAATTGGTAAAATTTAATTTATTGGACGGCAGGTTGAATATTTTGCTGGTCAACTACATTAAATATAGCTATAATTAATTCATTTGCAAGATTTCAAGAGGTTCGCAGCACTTTTCAAATATCTTAATGCTTCTTGAGTTTATGTGTAAAATTTTAACAAGATACATTGAGGGTATGCCCTTGCAATAAATCGATTTATTAGGGCCCTTCCATTACATTTTCAATGAATCTGCATACAAACACACGACAGTATCGCTTGTCTGGAGAATGCACGCACAGTTAATAAATAAAATACTAAAATATACATCGCATCCATGTTAACAGCTTTTTATTTTACTGCAAATAATATTTAATTTGAGAACAAAAGACATTTTTCATTATACAAAATGTGACTTGATTAGTCTCTCACTGTGAACAAACTGCGTCATTTTTGCGAGATGACATCACATTGACAAGTGCATTGCGATCGATGCATCGTTTATATACTGTTGTGGGATTTAACAAACGACAAAACTGCATGTAAAAGTAAGTGTGTATGTAGTATACAGCTATCCAGCTGTTTGAAATAGCAAATAATTTCATTTTGTGGTATTTTGAAGACCTTTTATTATGCATGACGTCATAGTAAACATTTCCCGTACAAATTAGGCCCCGCCTCTTTACTGTAACCTTAACTGTGCTGCGTTGTTTCAAAAATCATTTTTTACCTATAGCTTGCCCTTCTTGGTAGCCTAGCTGTTGAGATCTCTTGGTCGGGAAACCGGGACCCGGATTTTATTGTCGTTCTCAAAGCCTCATTATATCATACATCTTTATGTGAATTACACTTTTTGCACATTCTGGAGGGAGAAAATATAAACTCAACTCACGTGGATTTGCACATATTTCAAAAATGAAGAAATATCAATAAACAACATTAAAAGCAGTTAGGATAAGTACTTATGAGCTTATTGTCGTTGGTGACATACGTACAGTGTTTTAAATACCAAATCATTAAGAAACCCTAATTGTAATCTACATTACGTTATGTGATCTGAGACACATTCTGACGTTTGAGAAACAAAATGAGGATTTTATTTTAGCAGAGGGAAAAGTTGTACCTCATAATGGATATGTGCAACGAGATAATATGTCCTTTTCCGCTGACAATCCTGAAGACGTGAGTGGATCCAATCTTTGATTGGATTGTGACTGTCTGTTATTTTGTTTGTACCCCCCTTATTTTTCGTTGGCAGACAGTTATTCAGAGCATTTTATTTTTTTAAAACTTATTTTGTTTATAGATTGGTCAACATGTAATAAATGAATATTGCACTTTAAAAAAAGATTACAAGGTTTGAAGTCGTATTCTAAACTGCCTGACCTCCCCCCTTTTTTTCCTGTGTACATCATGTAACAATGTCATTATTGTGCCGAGGTTCAGATTGTACAATATTCTGCCTTAGGTGTTATGCTGTATATTTTAGTCCCCTTTTTCTTACCCCCATTTTTTAAAACTGTGTTTTACTTCTTTCGTCATTTACTTTAATAAACGACAAATTTCACTTTTATATGATGATATTTGTTTTTGCCTGCTTTTATATAAAAAAAAGCTCAGTCATATGGCAGGAAATCTACGGAACATAATGTATAACATGCCCTGTTATACATGAAGTTCAGTTCTTAGTTAATATTCTTTTACTAAAATCAACAGAAGACAAAGAAAAAGAAAAAAATCGAAATTACGTCTAAAATTTTATGAAAACTTAAATAATATTATATTTCTGTTTGTATCGAGTAAGCCTTTTGAAAAGTCTTATATTAAAACAAGGAACAGTCAAGACACTTTGGACTAACTTTAAGAGTTAGGACATATAACTTGCTTTAACAGATATAAATGATTTCACAAGACACATTTGCTTGCATGATACAGAAGTTGTATTGCATGTTGTTTAGTTTTTTTTTAAGGATGTTCACTTTTGAAATGGTTTAATTTTAGTCAAGTAGATCATATACATTCATCAGATATCTCAATATTTCTTGACAGGGCTTTAGAAATATTCTCTTAAATTCTTTAAAAATATTAATAATGATATTGAATTTAAAATAATATTTCCGAAAATAATTGAAATCAAATCTCATTAGGATATTTCATTAAACCTTAAGGATATTAAGAAAATTCATTCCGATTTTTTTTTATTTATCACAAAAAAGTACAATAAGATGATATTTAACTTTTGATATTTAATGTTCACAGAGTTTCTTCTTGCTACTTAAAAGGTTTTAACTGTGTTTTGTTGAAACAAAAATTCGACAGCAGATATTAGAACAGATGTTGTGCATGATGTTTACACGTATGCACAAAATGTAGGTACGTGCTTTTTAAATGTGTGACATACATTTAGTTACAGGTTAACACATCCTTTCAAAGACCTATGAAATATTTGTCAAGTCAGACAGTCAAGATTTCAGTATGACAAATCTCTGAGAAATGACTTTCTTTAACATTTTCTCCTCAGTTTTCAGTTGGTACAGTATTTAAGATTTGAAACAACAAAAGGCAAATAATCATACATTATCACATAAAAAATCCTGTAGCTCTCTCATTTGGATGTTTTCAAGATATATGTATATTTCTGTTGAATAAATCCAAAAGCTTCCTGCTAGAAATGAATTAGATCTACTCTTCTCTTTTGATATGAGTATATTAATTATTATTCTGTCTGTTAAGATCAGGTATTCAAACAATCTGTCTACCTTCTAAAACCAATATTATCACCTAAATGTTTCCGCCCTGGAAGAAGAATCCTTCTACGTGGAATAAAATTATCTTCATACGTTTCTAGTATCGCCATTGAGGCAAATCTGATATCAGTGTTACAACCAAAATACGAGTATACCAATCCATGCTATTCTGTAACACTGTCATTGATACAACTTAAGCAAATTTACTTTTTTATATACTTCGAAGAATTACTGCTTCAACACCAGTACCATCTGTATTTTCATAACATTGTGGATCAGCATTATTTGCATGTTGAGGTTGCATCGATTTTTTTTCGAAATTTCCGCACTTCCCTGACTAGTATTATTAAAAATACAACAGTTAGGAGAGTTCCGACGATAATTATAGCATAACTGTAATTGGAATGTGATATGGTATTTTTTGATGGTTTTGTGGTTTGAATGATTCCTTCCAATTTCGTTGTTAACATCTGAGAGGTGTTGAAATGAATGAATGTGTTCGTGTTGGAACCTGTAATATCATTTACTTTAATAAATAACATATTTCACTTCTAAATGCTATTAATTTTTTTTTTGCCTGCTTTTATTTTTAACCAAAAAAAAAAAAAAAAAAGAAAAAGAAAAAAGAAAAGAAACAAGCTGGTCGTTTGGCAGGAGAATAAATGAACACACATGTAAGATATATTTCACTTTTAAACCTTTATATATTAATATTGCATCATTTTAAAAAAATCATTAATTTGATGAAAAACTGAAAGGCGATCGCAACATGCATTCTTCAAAGGAGGTTTACTTTGATGCAATGAATTATTACATGACATTAATTTAGTTGTAAATACATGATTTTATTATTATAAAAAATACTTCAGGTTTTATGTATATATACGCTCTAATGAGAGTATACATAAGTTCAGATGTGATGTAAACTTTGTACGGACAGATGCACGGATGGACAGGACGATTTATTTAGTACAAAAAAGAATTACAACCACCACGAATGATTCCTGCAAAGTCTATTAAATTGAAACATCTACCTAGAAAGTTTAAGATAAAATGCAAAGATTTCTTTTTATGTACATGCATAGTGATAAATATGGATTCGACCTCAAACCTGTACAAAAATAAACCCAACATTACGACATGCCTAAGGTATTCAATGTATAACGACCATATTTTGTACCTAAAAGTGAATATTCTATATGAGAATGCTTCACCAAAGGAATTAGCAAAATGTTGATTATTATTTTGCACAAAAATGATTTTCTAAGAAATCTTTTAGTGAAAATGCGTAAATTCTCATAAATTATAATTATCACATACATGTATATACATAAATTCTTATTATCGTGTATATAGTTGGAGGCTTGTACCTGTATTTTGCTTACAGTCGAACGTTTGTTTACAGGCTGGACAAGAACAGGCAGCATCACATCCAGATCGTTGCATCAATCCCTCACAAGCTTGAAAACAATTACACTCAGAGCATCCGGAAGGGCACACTAATATAAGAAAGAGTATTATACATTAAATAAAAGTAATTTCCTATTACAGTAAAGTGTTCTCTTGAAAACATCTCAATTAGTTTGACATTTAAACAAATCTTTGACTCACCTATACAAGTATTGTTTACTAAGTAGTGATCTTTACAGCATTTCGTAATTTTTCCGTTTTCTAAGCTGAAAATATTTTTAAAAAATACAGCAAACTTTACTTTTTTTCTTACATCTGAATTATTATATAATCATTCTTTTTTTAAATTCTCTGTATTATATAAAAAAGAATGAATATTAATTTTTACCTGTCATAACAAGATTTATTTTCAGTCCGAAAACATGGAAGTAATATATAAACAAAAAGAAGGTTTACAAACTTCATTTCAACAGAGTGAAGTTTGAGGTAAATGTTTTGAAACTATATGGAAACTCTGTGTATCAATCCACTCTTTAAGTGTTTACCCACATGTTAATCATTCAAAAGGCGGAAATGTTGAGGAATTTGATTTTTGTTTTAATTTTGCAAGTTTTATTACATCCAGAGAATAAAATAATAAAATATAATTTACGTTTTAGTATACTCGAGCACATATAAGTAGTTTGAACTTTTGTTCAATGGCTTTGTTTGATGAATCATTCAAAATGCACCTGCATCCTTTAACACAATTGATTGAATAATTGTATATTGTTTAACGTCCCTCTTGAGAATTTTTCTCTCATATGGAGACGTCACCGTATGCCGGCGAAGGGCGTCAAATTTTGATCTTTACTGTGCACTCAGGGCCATTGAGCAGTGAACGCGGGTATGTTACTATGACGTCATAACATATAGGCAAGTAGAATATTTGGTTGTAACCTTAACCTACCTGCGAAGGATCTTTATCGTGCCATAACCTGCCGCTGACACGGGGCATCGGTTTGTAAGGTCTCATCCGAAGGACCCGCAACTTTCACTTCAAAGTGCCGAGCGCATGGCGAAGGAACAATTGCTACACATTTTATCAACTAGGTCAGTCGCGGCCGCGACTCACGACCTCCCGATCACGGAGTGAACGCTTTACCGACTGAGCTACCGTGAACGGTCCTTTAACACGAACATGTATGTCAAAAACCAACAACTAGTTACAGGTATACCTTTATTTATTTTGTTATGAAATGGCTTTTTAAAAATCATCAACAAACTGTATAACAATGAGACAGAAATATATAGAAATTTAATATATAACTCTTTGAAAGTCAGTAGTCAGATGATTGAATTTTTTTTTCATAAAGCCATTTTAGTTGTAACAAGCAGTTTTCTCATTCTCAATGCATGATCAGGATATTCCTACCGATGGAGACAACGTGTCCTAAAAATGAATCGTTTTCTTGATTACTTTTTTTTTTACGTACTGATATTTTTTTCTACAAAATATAAGACATTATCAAAGTACTGATGTGTTATCTTTTATAAAAAGCCCCTTGGGGATCCGGGTTAGAATATGTCCTCAGTACCCCCTTGCTTGTCGTAAAAGGCGACTAAATGGGGCGGTCCTTCGGATGAGACCGTATAAACCGAGGCCCAGTGTCACAGCAAGTGTGGCACGATAAAGATCCCTCCCTGCTCAAAGGCCGTAAGTGCCGAGCATAGGCCTAATTTGCAGCCCTTCACCGGCAATGGTGACGTCTATATAGTGCTAGTGCTAGGGCGGAGCTATATATAATATAAAGAGGTTCATTCCAATTTTATCGTTATCTAGCAACACATTTTAACTAGTTAAAAATTACTGTATAAAAAGTTGCTTTCTCCCCATATTTCACATTTGGAAACATGTTTGCCCCGTTTTGAATTTGCCCAGAAAGATTTTTGTTTGAGATAGTACACTGTTTACTTATATTTCGCCCCGTTGTAAGTTCGCCGACTTCCGACTAAGGTGAATTAAGGGCGAAAATTAAACGAGTGTAAAATATATAAAGTATTCAAAATTGTGCAGAATTGTTAAAAAATTCTCCATTATACACTGAATGCATAAAATAAAAGTGTGTTAAAATTTCAAGCACCTGTGATAGGGAGGATGCTGAGAAACTGTGACAATAATTTGGTACAGAAAGACACACCCGGGCGGAAACACAAGGGTAAAAATAGTATATCAACTCTCCTTAGGGATATATATTTATGATCTTGTATAAAGTTGGAGACTTGTACCTATATTTTGCTCACAGTCGAACATATGTTCACAGTCTGGGCACATACAGGCAACACCACATCCAATTCTAAACGTCAATTCCACACAAGGATGAAAGCAATTACACTCAGAGAATCCGCAAGGGCACAATTGTATTATTCCTTCATATAAGTGATGTTCTTTTACAATATATTTTTCTCTTGAAAATATCTAAATTATTCTGACTTTTAAAAAAACATTTGACTCACCTTTACAAGTATTGTTATTAAGTAATAATTATTACATTATTATATTATTAGCATGATATGAAATAAGAAGTGATTTGAGGTGTCTTGCAATGAAAGCAAAACCCTTTTACACTACGTATCATAGAATACATGACGGAAATAGAAGACAAAAAATGTCAAATAAGTATAAAAATCATGACAATTTCTCTGAATGGCTGGATACCTATCGTTAACATAAAATATATTTGTTGATCAATTTGAAATTAGAAAATGCATTGCTGATGTTTCAATTCTCTTGTTCTGCAAAAATATTGGATATTTGACAATTTTACCTATATCATATGATTAACTATAATCTTCAACCTTATAAAAATACTTTGGATAAATTCACATAACTTTGTGGATTCAGAGGTACTTTCATGAATATTTTTGATTACTTACATTGTAGTTGCTAATTTTATAAACCTGAGGATCGGAGTACCTTAAGCAATAATTTCCTTTTATTTTCAATCATTATAGTATATTCCTATCAAAATTATCTGCATTATAAAAGTATAAAAATCCTTTTTTTTTTTTTTTTTTTTTTTTTACTTTTCATAGCGAGTTTCAGTTATATCAGTTCGAAAACATGGAAGTAGCGTATGAATAAAGAGAAGAATGTTCACAAACTGCATATCAACAAGGTGAATTTTGCTGAAAATTATGCGTTTGAAACTCAACTGGAAACCCTGTGTATCCATATTTAAAAGTTTACCCAGATAGTTATCATTGAAAAGCGGAAGGTGTTAGGGATTTGATTTTTTTTTTCTTGATTTAGGTTTAATTTCAATTAGCAAAATTACAATTCAATTTCTAATACACTTGCGCAGGTATTAGCAGTTTATACTTGTATATAAAAATACATGTAGCTCATTCAAAATGAACCTGCATCAAGATGCAATTTTCCTATATATCTATTGAACAGTGAATTTGTTTTACACAGATGTCAAAAATTCAAACACAAAATTTGTTACATGATTACTGAACTTAGTTTTGTGGTGAAAAAGCTTTAAAAAATCTCAATAGCCCGTTTTTTATCTGTATGACAATAGGATAGAAATAGATAGAAATGAAATATATGACCCTGTGAAAGGCATATTAATGAGTCAGGTGGTTTATTTTGTATGAACTAATTTTTGTTTTTACAAGCAATAGTCTTATTCTCAGTGCAAACTAAAAATACTCAAAATACGATGTGATTCATTCGTTAAAATCTCTCTCTCTCTCTCTCTCTCTCTCTTATTAATACTAAAATTTGAATAAAAATTATAACAAGCTCTTATAAAAAAATATCTTAAGTTTGATGCTCGAGAACTCTTGAGATCAATTTACATGTGCAAATAAATTTCAAAAATTATAATCTCACCTTCGGACTTTATTCGTGATTCGTCAATCCAGGAATCTGACTATGTTATGTAAATAATTTTACGACACGGAGACATCACTTTATTGTACAAAAAGGCATTTTTTTTCAGGTCTGTCTTTTATTATTTCTATTATTCAAAATTCAAATTTTTTGTCATATTTTAAATTGAGATTCATTTAATGTGCTGAAAAAAAAATTGGGAGAAAAAAGATTTAGACAATGAAAATGAAAATAAAGAACTTGAAACAAAAATTCTTCAGTTAACAAAAATCTTTTTCTTTTTCTCAATAGTATCATTTAAAAGGATTCCGTGTTTAATAACTTCGTTATCTTTACATTTCTTTATACGAAAATTAAGGATCTATTTTTACCAAATGTAGACTTTGCTTGATTGAGATGAATAACATTTTGGCTTCATAACTACTTTCAAATACCTATTTTACTTAACAAATTGACATAGTGTAGGATTATAGATTTTTGCACAAAGAAATATACCGAATTATATATGAAATAAGAGAACTCTACTCCCATCGTAATAATTGAATTTCCTGTATTGATTTAAGTCAAACATATCCAAATGCAAATGAGGAAATGCTGAATTTCACTTTTATGAAGCTGAATTTATTTAATTCTGTACATCTACATAAAAAATATCGGACAGGAAAAGATAAGTGACTCTTATTTATTTCGAGGTACAATTTTTATTTCTTTATTATCAAGCAAATATTTTTGTATAATTCAGTTTCAGTTCTCTTAAAAAAATTCTGCTTTCTAAAAGATTAAAAAGAATTCTGACTTCTGTTAAAGAAAAAAGTTAAATTAAGCTAGATGACAACACAATTCCCCGATTCACCTCTTACAAACATCGTCACGGTAATTTACGTGGCACATGTATTACGCTCATCACATCTAAAAGAGAAATTCAAATAGGGCAAGTTATTCTACGGACAAACTGTCTTAGGTTCGAACTCTCTAGTGTTCTGGCGCATGTGTAGCCTGACATATAGATATGACATCTGGTTTAAGTTGCTTATATATTTTCCGTGTGGACCCTAGAGTCCACGCAATTTAATATTTGATGACAAATGCTCATGTCAGGTTTAGATTTTCTTTTGAACTCACTTTTGAAATATTGTTTTCGTAATTCAGGCCGCTGTAACGTTGACTTTTGACCCCGGTTGAAAATTGACCCGGGGGTCATTTTTCAACGGTGAATAGTGAGACCAAAGGTATTGAATTTAGACCCTAGTATGTTACAGGGATGGGGTAATTGAATAAAGTAATTGTAATTGAGCGTAATTAATTACATTTTTCAAAGTAATTGGAAGTAATTTGTATTTGAGCGAGCTTTCAATTACAAGTAATTGAATGTATTTAAAAACATTTCAAAAAAGGTCATGTATTTTCAATTACTTTTCAGTTACATTCTAATTACTTTTTTCAAAATGAAAGTTTATAAAAGAAAAAGGTGTCTTATACTGATGCACAGTTTTATACTGGTGGGTTTATACTACCTGTTCCCACTTTTAAAAAATCGCAATTCTTATTCCCATTTGCAAATATCAATGATTGTTTAGATAGTTAATTTGTTTTTACAGCAATTAGACTAACTACATTCAATTTTAGATTTACCTGTATTCTATTCATTTTATGATAGAAAATAATGGATGGATTTATGAGAAATATGATTTATTTCCTTCAAAAATATGGATTTGAGAAAGTAACAAAAAAGATCTTGCCATACACCATACAGGTGTAGCATGGGCTTCTGTTTGTACAATAATTAAATGTCTCATTAGTGTTTAATTTGTTTATTCAGTGTGTCACACTGCCCAAGGCATTAGGTAAAGGTCTAATTTTGTATAGGTGTTAAACCCTCTCATACCCAAGAACAAAAACACTGAATAATTAAAGGTTCACCATAGAAAAAAAATCTATTTAATAAAAATATCTGTATTCTTTAATATAAAATTAAAACTCAAGTAATTGAAAAGTAATTAATTACATTTGTCAAAGTATTTGAAAGTAATTAATTACATTTTTAAAAATCTATGTAATTGTAATTGCAAGTAATTGACAAAATCATCCGTGTATTTGAAAGTAATATAATTAATTACATTTCAAAGTAATTGACTCCAAGCCTGGGACTCAGTTGAAAACTGAGCCGGGTCGTGGGATTTTGATGATGAAACCGGTTCAAAATTCAACAGCATAAAAACACATATTTATGAAATATTCATAGTTTTCACAACTGTGATTTAATTCATAGGCGTCGGGAACGGGGGAGGGGGGGGGGCTAAGGTTTCTTACCCCTTTTTTGCAAAGATAGACACAATATAGGCCTTGAACAATGTAAAATTGGCTTACTTTCCCCCTGCTTTCAAAAGGCACGTTACAATGTAGTCAAAAAAGAAAAGTAGTGTTAAAAAAAAGAAATTGGATCCTACCCCTACCCCCACCCCCCACCAACCCCCCAACCCCCAACCCCCAACCCCCATAGGATTTTCGGGTTTGGACTACTAGTTGGACAATGGACATTTTTTTTGGTCAATTTTTTTTCCGATTTGAATTTGTCTTTCTTTTTCAAGTAGCCCCCCCCCCCGCACTTTCAATTTTCTTCTGACACCAATGTAATTAATGCAAACTTAATTCTGTAATTCAGTTATATTCTTAGAATAAAATATTTTTGAAAATATCTTAGATTTCAAAGTTACATGTAGCTTAATATCGCAAAATTTCGTGTAATATTTATCTAAAAAGAAGTACATTTATATATGTAAATCCTGAATATTAGTAAACATAGTTACACAATTTAGTTCATAAGTTTGTTTATTTATAATTTTTTTGCTGTCAGCACTTCATTTATTTTAATTTTAAAATTCCTAATATTAGTATAAATTTGGGAAATGGTGAGAGTTTAACGCATGATGCACGTACGTTTTAATGCGTATTTAGTTAAGCACAACATTAATAACTTTTATTTTAATGCAATAAGTATTTTGATACCCCGGTTACCCATCAACTGGTTAATTTCTTTCCATAATCCTTTCAAAGCTAGAACACCTTATCTTATCCTCCTCCAATGAGTAAAAAGTCTGTAAAACAGTTTGTCGTGTGTTGCCACCTTTGTGACGTTTAATAATTTGTTTGAAATTCTCAAAAGTATTATTAATAATGACATATAAGTTTTAGCAGACACAAGATATCAAGATGAGAAATAAAACCAATTTTGTAAAGGGAGATAATTCAAATTTACAGTAATTACCACTTAGATTTAACAGAAAAATCATGAAAATGGGTCTGAAAACGCTAAAACATAAATTTAAACAACAAAGAAATGGCGGAGGCGGGGCGGCAGGAGGTAAATAAATACCGAAACAAACAAATTGGCAGATATTTTTCCAACAAATTGTTTTCTTTTTATACAGAAAAAGGATAAATCTGGAAGGCATCAACATGCACTTCTAGACTCATCAAATAAACAAGCGATGGAAAATAAACCGCCGGGGTAAAAGTTGAAACTAAAACGAAAAGACCCGCATGGGTACAAACTTGCCAAGTACAAAAGACTGCCTGAAACTTGTACTTAGGACTTGCCTAAAGTACTGTAGAATTCCACAATATTTTAGTAATCAACTTATACCGAAACAAACGAATTGGCAGACAATTTCCAACGATTTTCCTTCACAGAAAAAGGATAAGTCGATCTGGAATGCATTGAAATACATTCATAGACATCAAATAAAAACCGATGGAAAAAATCGCCATATGCATGGTAAAAGCTGAAACTAAAATGAAAAAACCCGAACGGGTTTAAACTTGGCAAGTACAACAGACTGCCTGAAACTTGTACTTAGGACTTGCCTAAAGTACTGTAAAAATTCACAATATTTTAGTAATCAACTAATACCGAAACAAACTAATTGGCAGACATTCTTCCAACGAATTTACTTCACAGAAAAAGGATAAATCTGGAATGCTTTAAAATACATTCCTAGATATCAAATAGAAAAACGATGGAAAAAATCGCCATCTGCATGGTAAAAGCCGAAACCAAAATGAAAAAACCCAATGGGTTGAAACTTAGCAAGTACCAAAAAACTGCCTGAAACTTGTACTTAGTATCTGCCTAAAGTACTGTAAAAATTAAACCAACAACGAAACAATCAAATTTGCTGATACTTTTTCCAACCGAATTTTCTTCACAGAAAAAGGATAAATCCGTTTTACATTATTAGACATCCTCAATGCCTATCGTACTGTTAAGATAACAAAATGTTGTATAATTTCAAAGAATATCTATCTGAAAAATTGACGAACAATAAAAGTAACAAAATGGTGACAAACTTTTAATACTTAGATGTATATCTATTTTCTCGCTGAAATTAAAGCTCCCCTTATACTCCTATATAAATGAACATTCCCCTGACTGTTCAGATGAACTCCGTCGTGAACAAATTTACGACTGCAGTCTCCTTCACGGGGAGAAACGAAATAATTCCCATGTTCCCAAAATACGCAGTAACCCAGTGCTGGCAATGCATCTCTCAATATTGCGTTTACTTTGTCTGCAATATTATTGTACCCAAAACGAACACCAAATCGTGGCAATAATTTACAAACAATAATTTTTGCAACTTTATAGCGGCGATGCATTACCGATACCACAGATTCAATTTCTGCAGCTAACAAGGTAGCGTCGGTACTAGGACTAATATCGTTCTCCCCAATCATTAGAACAACTACATCTGGACCTAAAGCAAATACGCTCTCCATATCCTTAGATATTACATCACGAACCTTTCTTCCACCCACACCCCTGTACAGAACGGAATGCGTTTCTCCCAGACCAAGGCTCGCAGAATACCTAATGTCACCATATTTCAAGAATTCATGAAAACGACGCACAATTGAGTGTCCAAGAATGACAACTGAAGTTTTACTCATTGAAGACATAATGAAATAAATTTACTCACCAAAATCTTGATAAAATAAATAACAAACTTTGAAACAACGTCCGTCCTCCAAGGATGTAGATGGGAGAAAAGGCAGAGTAACGCACCGCATGGTCAGAATTTCATTTGTTAGATTTTAATTGGTCAGATTTTGATTGGTCAATCTCTGCCTCTCCTACCACGGTAAGACATGGAACAAAATTAACATTACAAAGCACAGCTATACAGTATTTCAGACTTTCACATTCAAGGAGGACACTTATTGATTACAATAAAAATTTTTAAGTAAACTTAAATTTATATAATGTTCAACTTGAAAAAGGGATTTTTTTCAAAATATAAGGTTTAGTGATCTTTTTCGCATATAGTTATTCAAACAGTTCAAGAACGAACCTCACAATTAATACATACTTATTTTATTAAGTATAGGATGTAAAAGGGGGGTAATCTCCCCTTTTTGGGATTATTTGAAGAATGTATTTTTTTTTCATTTGTGACTGGGATGTTTCCTTCATTTTTGTAGTTTTTTTTTTATTTATTAAATGTTTGCCTTAGATATACAACCCTTACTTTCAGCGTTATTTAATATTTGTAATGAAGTAGCCAAAATATAACATTGACCCACCTCCACCCCCGAATAGGAGAAACACAGGATTGTTTGTGAGGAATTTTTGAATCGGCCCTTCCATCAAATTAGTGAAACATGGTTTGGTTTTCAACTTTGGCTAGTTTCCCTTTCCTTTTTTGTTTGCTTGTTTGTTTATTCCGTTTCATTTATTTATTTTGTTCATGTTTTTTGTCACAATATTTCAGAGGGTTTTGACACCATACCCCCGCCTCCGATAAAAACTTTAGGATCCTCTCTCTCTCTCTCTCTCTCTCTGAAGAGGAATGGCTTTTTAGTTGTTTAGATCAAAAGAAGTTGCAGGGGCGGCGGTTTTTTTTAATTGTTCATATCAAATATGGTGGGAAGTGCAGCTTCTAGTCCATCCCAGAATCTAACTTAGTTCTCATTCTCAGGATTATGATCCGAAAACGATCGATTCGTAGGCAAAGGCAAGCTACTGACAAATAATTTTGTTACAGGGATTTCACCAACCTTGTTTAAAGTCAGCATTACTTACATGTTATGGTCGCTATATTGATCTTTTCACAAATATAACCTTACATTGGATTCATTTTGAGCGATGTGTTTCATTCTAATTTTTTGGCTTTTAATTTTGTTAATTTTTATACTGAATTTGACTAGATGGGATGTTCTGCCCACCTGATCACTATAATGTTATATACGGCTCATTTTCTAGACACCAGGTTTCCAAGATTTTTGTTTTATGCTCTATTCATGGTTTTGTACATGTAGTTATTTATGGATGTTGATTTTAGAAAATATTGTCAAAAATAAAATTGTCATGCTTGAAGATTACTGAAATCGTGTATCCAAATGTACATATATACATGGGATGATAAATTTATTTCTATTATTCTTGAAAAGGGGAAAAATTAAAACCGAAATATAAATATAGAGATACTGATAAACCCCGTAAAACAACTTCCCAGTTAAAAAAAATACTCAAACTCTGAGGTGGGGTCAATATTCCACAGGGTCTGTTTTCAACTCGTTGAAGTCATCGGGGATAAGAATAAGAAAAAAAATATCAAGCTGTTGAAAAATGACCCCGAGTATGAATTCAACGACTTTTGGTCTCAATTTTCAAAGTTGAAAAAACACCCCTGGTTCAATATTCAACGTTGAAAAATGACCCCCGGGTCAATTTTCAACTGGGGTTAATATTCAACGTTACATCGCATTTTCACCCTTGGAACTCATGGTTTTTTTCATTATCGATGTTTTTATTTCTGTTGATTATTCTCTTATAAGTTTCATGTCACGCAGAAAAAGAATTTAAATATATGTGCTTAACCATGAAAAGCATAGAACTTGGAGAGATCATTAACTCAAGAATTATTTTGCTCTTTAATCCTTAAACACATCTTCCAGATTTTCTACTTCCTGTAGACAAACTAAAGAGAGGAAATTTATAATATCTAATAAAAATAACTTTTCAAAGATCAATATCATATCTGACTAGTACTACAATATACACTAAAGTATCAGTCACATTATCCAGCGATGGGGTATACGATGAGAAACCGATGCGTTTTTGATGAAAATGGCGTGGTTGCCGCCCGGACACCATTAGTGATCGGACGGTGACTAAGGCCATTTTGCGAATCGGTGGGGTCATCGGTAGGAAATAATTCGTAGTTAAAAATCAGCGATGCCTCCAACGATGCCCCTCATAGCTCCTCATCGGCAACCCATTATTAACACATCTTTCACGGATCGGCCGATGTATGGCCGAGCATCACCCAATATCCGTTGAATCTGAGGTCATCCGAGTGGTGTTCAACAGATAACGGCCGATCATCGGTCGATGTTCAACCAAACATTGGCCTGTAGTCGACCGATGTTCGAACGATGTTCACCAACGTATGAGCGAAGTAATATACATCGGCCGATTATCCTGGAACATCGTTTTATGATTAGCAATGCATCGCTTGGCCTTTGTAAGTCCGGCCGGCAACCACGTCATTTTTATAATAAAAAGCATTGGTTGCCCATCGTATACCCATCGCTGGATAATGTGACTGATTCTTTAAGGACTACTAGTCCGATGTGGACCGATGTTTAGGCATCGCTCACACCATGGATTAAGTATCAGTCACATTATCAAGCAATAAGGTATACGATGAGAAACCGATGTGTTTTTTGATGAAAATGGCATGGTTGCCGTCCGGGCATCACTAGTGATCGGACGGGACTGAGGCCATTTTGCGAATCGGTGGGGTCATCGGTGGGAAATAATTCGTAGTTAAAATTCAGCGATGTCTCCAACAATGCCTCACATCGCTCCTCATTGATAACCCATCATTAACACATCTTTCAAGTATCAGCCGATGAATGGCCGAGCATCGTCCAATATCCGTTGATTCAGAGGTCATCCGGGGATTGAGTGATGTTCAACAGATAACTGCCGATCACCGGTCGATTTTCGACCAAACTTTGACCCGTAGTCGACCGATGTACGAACGATGTTCTTCATCAATGTATGAGCGATGTAATATACATCGGCCGATTATCCTGGAACATCGTTTTTTGATTAGCAATGCATCGCTGGGCCTTTGTAAGTCCGGCCGGCAACCACGCCATTTTTATCATAAAACGCATTGGTTGCCTATCGTATACCCATCGCTGGATAATGTGACTGATACTTTAAGGACTACTAGGCCGATGTGGAACGATGTTGGGGCATTGTTAACACCACGGATTACCACCAATTACAACCCGTCTACTGCCACCGGCCGGGAAATGTGACCTAGGCATAAATAAAATGTTTCACAAACT